AAACAAATCTGCTTTTTTCGTAAAGATAAAAAACGTACGACAACTGATTATTCCCGCAAGAATCACACTTCGATACAAACTTCTGATATGCGCGGGTAAATCGTGGATTTCGAAGAAAATTGGCCAAACTTTTGCTCTGAAAGGAATTCGGCCAAAATTATAAGCAAAAACAGTGCAGTCATATTTCTTATGAAAAGTTTACTTCGTGTGTGGTGTGGGAAATCCGTCGCAGTTAAATACTAGACGAACTGTGAGCACTCGGTTGGCTTCATTTTGCTCTGTGGTTAAACCGTACTTGTAACATGGGAAAGCATTTCGATCGGCAAGAAAGTTGTGAGGAAAATCATTTGCCAAGTACCGACCACTTCGCTGCATCTAAAATATGAAGTTGCTAGAAGGCACAAGCAGTTTCAGTGTTGTATTTGATTAGACATACGTTTAATATTTCCCTGATGTTGTTCGTCGCGACGCGCTTCAGCTGCTGTACAAAGTCCACTGTTGCTAATGTGCAAGGCACTGGCCTAGCTTGCGTTCTGCAAACAAAAATCAGTAGATCTGAAATATTCCAAAGCAAAATATCGAAGGCTAATTTCACCGTGAACCTCGCACAACAAGTTTTTTTTAAGGGTTTAAATTGAAACCTGTATAGACTGCAGTCAGCTGTCTCACAGATTGACAAACTGTTCCGCAGCGTTCCGTGACAAGAGCAGAATGACCGGTATACGAAATTCTGAGCTGACATCACTTCCTCCATATACTTTTCCACAGCGCGCAGTGTGGGAACTTTTGCGCCGATTGCTTTAGCCCAGTGCAGCTGCTGCTTCCTCTCACGAGCAGACGCATTCCTCAATACGAAATCCAGCGCAGTGATCGACAGCACTTCATCATCTGCGAAGGAAGATAGTGAGTAGTTGTCTAGAAAATTGCGTTCTTAGTTAATAATTGGATGTTCTACTGTTACCTGCCACGCTGGAGTTCTGCACAGGAATACTTTCCGCACAGTGCTCACGCTTTCAACATTACTGTTAATTCCGTCGCTGCTGCTTGGGACTGAGTCAAATTGCGCATTTCGCTGCTGTAAGGAAGCCCTCTTGGGCAATGTTACAGTGAGATATCCACGACGATTGGCTAACTCTTCATTCGAAAGCACCTCACTTCGTATTCTCACACGCGCAAGACGTATTCTGCCCATTTTTCTGAAAGCACCATTTGTAACATACCTTCAAACATAAAGATTTAGAGCGTGACTGACATTACAGTTGTTGGAAAATGGCAATTAAAAGGTACTGTGTTGGATATCACACTAAGATGCAGTCACAAACACGTGAGAAACGCTGGAAAATGGGAAATACACCCTAGGCCATCATCAGGCGAAACGCAACCTTTCGCTTCTTGTTATCGTGTACGCTTTGAATAGCGACCTTCCGTACTGGTTTTAATGTCTTAAATGTACCCATGAACAATCAACAGAGACGCAGAACGCGAGGCACCCATACGGCATATTATTCATATCTATTATAAATATAATATAAGTGCACTATACGGAATGGTCCGCTCCTCCAAATAGTTGTAGACTAGTACATATACAGATGCTGTACTTTATATTTGGATCTCTAAAACATACCAGCTAGGTACAATAGAGGATACGTGGGCTCGGGCGCTTCTAAACACCTGATTTTGCTCGTACATGAGTGGGGAACATTTCCTTAAAGTTTTA